AGTGAACCAAAGGTCTCTCTTGCCCCTGCCAGGAGGTTTCTGCAGCCAGGTCCACACTGCAGTTTCTGCTGACAAATATGCCCTGGCTCCAGGTGTGGGAAATGTGAACCTCCCATTTGACCTTGTTCTTCCAGCAAAACATTGTGCCTAAACTGCATGGTGATACGGTCAGAGAGAGGGACACCAGGTTGCTCTTTGAGGGCTTTGCTGATGCAGGCCAGACAACAGGTCTATGGCATGGGAATGGCTTGACAAAGCTGAGCTCATCAGAGCCTTTTCAAGTTGCTTCAGCTTCTTGTTGCTGAAGTTTCATATACCCACASTGTGGCTTTTGGAAGGGCTGAGCTCCTGTGAGCTGCCACCACTATAGCTAGACATGATGTAACCCCTCTGCCAAGGAGCAAATCTGAGGCTGAACAGGCYCGTTCCTCTCTGGGCTTCCTTATGGCCTTACGGACATGATTCCACCCATCTTCATCATTTTCACAGAACCACAGAATGGTTGAGGTTGGAAGGGACCTCTAGAGATCATCTAGTCCAACTCACCCACTCCAGCAGGGACACCCAGAGCATGTGGCACAGGGTGGCATCCAGGGGGGTTTTGAAGACCTCCAGAGAAGGAGACTCCACAACCTCCCTGGGCAGATTTTCCCCACACATAAAATAGGAATAATTACACGCTGCTCTACCTTCTCCACAAAAGCTTTATGATTAATTAGCATCTGATTTGTGCTTGCAAAATCCTATTAAAAATCCGTTGAGTGATCTGAAAAATCTGACCTGCGTATTCCATGGTGGTTCCTCAAAAGCTGCAAAGTGCTGGTGCAGTTGCTTGCTGTCTCAGTTTAATCTGCAGCAAACAGACCCCCACTGTCCGTGCAGTGGGAGTCTGAAACCCGTTTGTGAGGCGTAGAGGAGGGTGAGAGGAAAGCCTGCATGGAAAATAACAGTTCCATAAACAGTGCAGGTTTTGGATGGTGTGGGATACTAAAGAACAGGGCCATTCACCACTTAATGAGGATTAAAATAACTCTTGAATAGTTGCCTTATTCTCTGAGCATCCTGTTCAATGAATGAGTCATAGGATTACAGTTGAAAAATAGGCTAGAACAGTGGGACAAAAAACCTAACATAATGAATATCAAATTAGGGGTTTGTGGACAACCTTTAATCTGGCACCTCCAGCCTGTTAGTGACTGATATTTTGACTTTAATAGTAGCTTAATCTTTGTTCATGTTGTCTGGTGTGACCCTAGCTACAGTCCCTTTTCTTTGGGAGAAGGGGGGGTCAGTTTGTTTGACTATCGCTGGCCAGGTGCAGAAGCACTCTGCAAAGAGGATATTCGTACATAAAAGTATAGAGTAATTATTGCCTAATGTGCAAGCAAGACAGCTGGGATTTAATGGTCTATTAGGCTAAGTATTAAATTATGAGCACCCTCTCTGAGAAGGCACTTGGGGATTTTTGCTGCCTGGGCACACATCCCTCATGTGTCCCTCATCCCTTGGTGTCCCTGAGATAGACCTTCAGTGCTGTGAGTAGCTCTGACATGAGTGACATGGTGCCTTGMCCCAAGGAGCTGGTGGTTCCCAGTTAGCTCCTGAACAGGCTGACAGGCTGACGGACTTGGTTGTTTTGTGTCCCTCTGTCCCATCAGGATCTCATCCCATTCATGCAGTTGGTTTCTTTTTGTTTTCCTTTTGAATCCCAAATCACTCTTGATCTCATGTCAAAAATTCTATCATCATCTCTGTCCCTAATTTCATATTTCATATTCTTCTAAATGATTACAGCCCAATTAACAGGGAAATGCCCCATGCAGTGAATGCTTTACCAGCACTTTCTTCACCCAGGCACCCAGCTCCGCTTTGCTTGGCCAGCATAGCAGAAGTTAAAGGACATTTGCTTAAGAGTTCCCCTCCGGACTACAAATTATGAACAGAAAATGCCAAAGGGTGACAGGCAGTTGATAAACTAGGAGCTTAATGCCAGAAGTATTTACATTTTCATCATCAGTTTTTCATCTGCTTTACTCCTTGCCTTCTGGGCCTGTCTTTCTTTCAGTTCCTAAAGCCTGAAGTCTTCTGTCATATTTAAGTACTCTGGAAGATTAGCCCTTGAAGGGGATTTTCTCTTCATTAATGTAGATGCCAAACACTTATCTTGTCATCAGAAAAATAAACCACTTGTTATATTCTTTTCTGAAAATCTCAGCTAGAGTGTATAGTTGAAGGTAGGGAAATGCTGAGGTTGCTGAAAAGACCAGAAGGGAAGAAGGAAAGAAAACATATTTCATAGGTGAATTACTCCTGTTCAGCCTATTTCTTTTCTCTGGTTGAATAGCAGATTTCAGAAGACTTCACAGTGCTTTAATAAATTCTGTAAAGCTAACACAAAATATCGTATGACTTCCAGGACCATCCTATATCTATAATGTAGTTGGCAAGTATTAAAAATATCCTTGCATTGCAGTTTCCACAAGGAATTTTATTAGAAAAGACAGGTTGGAAAATGCAATGTTTTCTTTCTAGATTTTGACACTTGTTGTTTTTCCTATTATAGAACAAAATAAATCTAGTTTTTATTAGCAATAAACACATAACAAATGATTGAGATTGAAAAGATATATATATGCCCCAGGGAAGACTGAAAGCAAATATCAAAGCAAAGGTAGAAAAGACTCTACCTTTTTGCACTCTCTGTGCAAAAAGAAAGACTTTTTTAAGAGGATATTCTGGACAGGAAGTACAATAGGAGTTAATTTGAGGCTATTTATAAAGTTTTCTTTATTATTTAGCAAGGGCTTTGAATCTCAAAACAGACAATTCAGTGACTGATTTATTCTGCAAATTAAATCAGAGTTGCATCTTGCCCACTGGAAGAAATGCTTCTCTCGCAGAAGTTCAGATCGATTCCTCAGCAAATGAGACGATCCACATGCAAGAAGACCTGTGAAGAAAGACTCTCAGTCACCTTCACATCTCAGGATGTTTCCTATCATTCCAGTTGCCCATTATTGGTGCTCTCAGATCACCAAGGGGCCTGATCCTGTCTTGCTCTGAGTACAGTGCCCCTTGACCAGAAACATTCAAGGGAGTTAATGTGCAGATAYAAATTTGCTCAGCACGTGATAGGTAGTGCTTTGGGACAAAAAAAGCATTCTTTATGCTCACTAGGAAAATTCTCACTTCTTGTTTTGCCATCTGCTGTTAAAAAGCTACTGGCACTTCTTAAAAGCATTTATTGGATGACATTAGACATGGAGGGTGCTAGATGCTCCAAGTCTTGCCAAAATGTGCATGTAGTTTCAGAGAAACCTGAAATCCTCAGCAGTGGATGCCATGCTGTAGCACTGAGAGGTTGTAGAGTCCTCAGCCTGGGGGATAAATGAAGAAGAGTCACCTGAGATCAACGCAGATCCTAGTCTAGAGATATCCCTTCCTACAAACTCAGTTTACTTTTCTCCCTACAGAAGGATATAACCTTTCCAGCCTCCCATGGCCTCCACGGGCCTCCACATGGCCATCCACTACTGTCCTGCATACAGACCCAGCATCCTTTCTCCTCCAACACCTTCTCTTCCCCTCTAGTGAACATGTGCTCCCTTCCTTTTCATGGATGGAAAGCTCTGTTTTCCAGAGTTGCAGTTGCCAGATTCACACACAAGCCATATGTATAATCTCTTGAGATGCAGCGTTTTGTTGTGTTTTTCTGTTCCAATTAGTGAATCCATGTCCTTTGCAAAGAAACCTGAGCTCTTTTCAGTCCCTATCCGTCCACATTAATTCTAAAAGGAGGTTAGAAGCACTTGTTTACCTTCTGCTCATGTTAAATCCCATTCTTCTAGTTACTGTTATCTGATTGCTCTTCCAGCTGTGCTCGGAGATTTCATGATTCAGAGCACTGTGCAGCCCTTATTTCCCCAGTGGAGCTTCCTTGTAAACAGCTTCGAACTTAGATCCCTATCTGTGCTTCTGCCTAACTGGCACTTCACAATTAACAACATGATCTTGTTAAACCTGAAGAAGTGCAGCAGGATCAGCCATCCCTTTAAAGCRTTTTACGGCTTTGAAAGTGTTTATTATAGGCCACAAAAGTGGTAAGCGAAGCCCCGGTGCTGCATTCTGAAGCCTGATTAACTCAGCCACACAAAAAGACCAATAATTCAGGGTCTGAGTATTTTTATATGTCAATTTATATGTCATTTTTTGGCATCTTTGCATTGGCCTCAGAGAACCTGAGTTCTTTAGAGGAAAGAATCTGGAATGAAATGGAAAGCTGATCAGAATCACAATACTRGGAGATAGTTTGAATACAAACTAATCATGTCAATATGGGTGTTATCACTTTCCTCAGCAACTTTATCCAGGAGTGAAGCTGCCAGAGCAAGTGCCAGAACATTAGAGAATTGTTTGTTTTCRGGAGAAGGAAACATCTTTCTTTGCTTCTGGTGCAATGAATGTGCTAATGTTTTATCAGCTACTGTTTTAAATACTCGCTTTCCACGTGGAGAGATGTCTCCATCACCAGTGTCTAGCCTGTTACCTGTCAGCTCAGTAGCGTGTGAGCAAAGTTAGCTGAGAAAAGGACAAACAGTTTGTATGTTTGCTTTAACCATTTGATTTCTAAATTAGCTGTGACTTAGCCATGCTTTTCTTAGCCACAGCTAAGTGAGACAGCCACAGCTGTAACCATACATCTGCCTGAACATAGGGAGACTAACATGGGTACCACAAGTTTCTATATAGAACAGTTTGCAAGGTGGACCCCTCCTGAGGAAATACTTTGCTTTCTAAGTCTTTTCAGGGTAGAGGTGGCTATGTAGAAATTCGCTCAGGCTCTTATCAGGTCAAATGTAAAGGAGAAYTCAGTGGACAACACAGCAGGCTCATGGCTCACTGTTCAGTTTGCAGCTTTCACAAATAGATCAAAGGGATGATAAATAAATAACTAGTGGATAAGATACCTGATAAAATAACTAGTGAAAGCCAAGCTGAACATGAGTCATCAGTGTGCCCCTGTGGTGAACAAGGCCTACAGCGTCTTGGGCTGTGCTAGGAAGACTGCAGGTTGGAGGAGGTGATAGTTCCCTTCTCCTCAGAGCACTGATGAGGCCACCTCAAGACCTACTGTCTCCCATCCTGGGTTCTCAGTAGAACAGCAGCATGGAGGTGCTGGAGCAAATCAAGTGAAGGGGCACAAAGATGAATAAGAGTGCACAGGTTACATGAGAAGAAGCTGATAGACCTGAGACTTTTCCTCCTGGAGAAGAGAAGACTCAGAGGGGACCTTATCAATGTTTGTAAGTACATGATGTGGGAAGAAGTAAAGAGGACAGAGTCAAACTCTTCTTAGAGGCATCCAGTGACAGAACAAGTGACAATGGGCACAAACTGAAATGCGTAAGAATATATATATTTTTTTTACTCTTTAAGTCTGGTCAAGCACTGTAACTACTTATATAGACAGAGACACAGTCTCTATCTTTGGAGATATTCAGAACCCAAGTGGGCRTGGTCAGATGAGCATACTGCTCTACCTGGACCTGATCAGCAGAAAAGAAGTGTTCTAAGAGGAAAATGGAATGTTTAGTTGTTTTTATGATACACAGATAGTTCTAATGGCAACTGTAGACAGCATCTGCCTTTGCAACTGAGGACTATAAAATTCTATGTAGAAGACTCTTGAACTGAACCTGTGTGAAATCTGTATGTGCTGGCTTTTCAGAAGCATCGAATATTTAAATTATATAAAAGAGCAGATGATTTGCTAACCAACAGGCCTCAGGACCTAGAAATATCAACATGTAAGACATTAGCAAGGTTTTTGGTAGTTTCTGGGAAAGTATTATGAGACTAATTTAGGAAGCATTGTCCATAAGGAATCTCTATAGGGTGGATGCCACAATGGTTCAACGGTCATAGGTTGGAAGTAAATATCGCTAGAGAGATCAACTTATATGCTTCGCATATAGGCTTCTTGTTAATGTCAACATGGTGGAATAAAAATCTGCTGTTAAACAGGAATACTAAAGAAAGGTTGTATGCATTAAAGAATGATTGGACAAGTAGCAGTTCTTTGGAAAACCACCAARGAGTCCTAAAGGATCATAAACTTGATGTCAATCAGTAATTTCATGTCACGAAAAAGGAAAATATCATGCAAGGTTTTGTGAATGAATGTGAACAGAGAACATGGGAAATCCAGCGCAGGCTTTTTTTCCAGGTTTTGGAGGCCAATGTTAYGAACAGCTTTGTGTTGGAAAGAGATGTGGCAGTGTAATTAGCTCTCTGAGGTTTCAGGAGTTTCCAGGAATGCATTACTGATGTTGATACACAAGTCATGGTTGCTTCCTGCTCGAACATGCTTAACTTTGCAGACACCTCTAATTTGCAGGAGAAGGGGAGCAGTTTCCCATTATCGTGTTCTTTTAGCATCTGGAATTTTAAGTGAACAACATAACAAGAGTCTTCCGCTTTCTTAAGCATTTTCTTCTCCTTTCTTTGATCATGCTGAGATTCCTTGTAAATACTGTGAGCTGTAATTATCATCTGCAGATTAGTGCGTTTACTAAGCTGTTTTTTAAAGAATATTTTTTCTGTGAATTTCAGATGACCAAGAACAAAATTATAGTCACCTGATACTAAACAGTGCCACCCAGACACCTACACATGGTAAGAGAAAACAAAGAGCAAAATTACACATGTTGTAACTTTTCTCTGCCAACCAGTAACATTTACTGGTATCAAAATATGTTTAATGTTAACTGAACAGTTCCTATGGCAATGATGCATGAATGATGTATTTCATTAACATTAAACATAGGACCATATTTTTCAATACTGTGCACATTTAAATATGGCCCAGTCTTTTACTTTGTGTTTCCCCATGTCTGGCTGCTTCTTTCTCACTTCCATATCGGCAAGCTGCTGTCGGATTTATCAGGCTAAAATAGCAAGAATTATAAGTCTTAAGTCTTTTTTTTTTTTTTCACTCCGGTTGGTCAATTCATAGTGCTGCTCGTGCTTGTGCAGTGTTAGACAGGTTGGAAAGATAGTGAATGTAGGGCAAGGGCTCCTGAGCTTTTGACACTGCAATATAAGGCCCAACACTGTCCTTCTAGTTTCTAGTATGAAAGAAGACCGACCCATATCCTCCTCAGACTTGACACCTCAGGAGATGTCTGGGTCAGCCTATCACCACCATGTAGCCTGTCCAGTCTTCTCTTCAAGACTGAGAGCAGCTCTTGTAGAATTTCTCCAAAGCTTCTCTGGGTTTGTGCTGGATAAGTGTGAGTCCTCCTGCAGGCTTCACTCTTGGTTAGCTATGGAAGACGTGGATTCCCTTTTGTCTTATCTTTGTATGTGATTCAGCACATGTGATGGCTCCCCTCTATCCAGCACTCTCTCATTTTGACTTAGTGGATCCCTGTCTTCCCTTGGCCAATACTTTCAACAGTTGAAGTGCTCCTCAGAGCAGCTTGTTTTCCCACTTAGGGATCCAGTGTCTCATTTCAGATGAGTTGTTCAGATGAGTCACTGTGCTGGACTCTCTGTTGAGTGGATGCAACAGCTAACAGGACCATGTGCAAATACTCTGCTTTGTATCACTATCAATCACAGGATTTTTGCCTTCAAAGAAAAAAATTGAAAGAGAATATGATCAACCCATGCTCAGAAAAAATCAGGAAAAAAAAAATGGGCCTCAGTTATGGCCAGAGATGAAAAATCCCGTTTTAACCTACTCAGGAGGCTGCTGGTCCATGCTCAGGACACAGCTTCTCCGTGCAAGGCCCTATCGAAGGAGGCTGTGAGATCAGTGATATGGTTACACTGAATCCTTCTGATGCAGGAAGGAATGCCTCCTAATTAATGACGAGATTGTGTGTAATCTACTCTGTCAGGCTGCCATCATTTAATTAGCACAGTGCTGCATGTGGCACGGCTAGCAGTTAGAAGAAAATGCCCCTTTTCCCTCTGCCTGGCCGTCAGGGAGGGTTCACAGCAGAGTGAAACATACGTTTTTTCTGTGTTTGGAAAACGCTGTGGAGGACAATTCCTAGTGATGATTGAGAGGCCTGACCTCGGGCAGGTGGGTATGATAAACCATAGCCTAMAATACCATGGCTTCATTTCTGCCCTTGTTGACGGCTCTGTAGAAGCTGTAGTTACTTGGAGTCTCCCACATCCAAAATAAAGAAGGTCTCTGCAGTAGGTCTCTTTGTGCACATACTCACTTTGAGGACCTACTCACATCTCATTATGAAGATATCTGCACTCCTCTGGAAATCTCATCCTAGACTCTGTTCTCACTGATGTTCTTCACACCTCAATTCCACTATAGTCATGAGTCTGATGCTGGTGTCATTAGCTCTAGATGTTGGTTTTACATCAGCTGCAGTTTTTGAATTCTAAGTGAAAAGCTCTATATTTTTGGAAATATGTAGTGATTTTATACTTAGAAGGTAAAGAAGAATGCTTGAGTATTTGTTTCTGTGTGCAGTCAAATTTTGCACATGAAATGCAAACCTCTTAATACGTTAATAGATCTTGTATAGCTATTAAATCCTTATGCAAAATAAGCACATAAATTATTTTCTTATTAAGAAGAATAAAATATGAAAAATATAAAAGCATAGGGTACAGAGAAGGACTCAGGCAGTGTAACATTAGCTGCAACAGAAATATACCCTGATGCCTGGGCACAGTTTCCCTAAATCTTATTATTTTATTTTTTATTCCTGCTTAAATTTAATCTCATTATAGTTAGTGCATATTTAATTATGTTAAACTACCAAGAGTCTTGTACAAACATTTTTTTTACACCTACATAAATAAACAAGTAAATTGGTAAATAATGTAGTTAGTAAGAAGTTTGTAATGTAATTTTCATATCAGTTCATTGCATTTGGTAATTATCTCTGAAAGTACTTAGTTAACCACCATAAGCAGTGAATGGCTTTGCTTCAAGATTTTTATTTGGACAAGTATTTTTTCCCATAAATGATGTCTTGGTTTGCCCTGATGGAGGCAGATTTGATTTTATAGCTGTAGCTATGTGAATATTAAACTAATTCCTATGTATGTATCTTYTTTTATCTTCCTTTAATCCTTTCTACATTCTCTCCTTTCTTCCTCTCTCTCCATTTCTTTTTCTTTTTCTTTTTCTTTTCTTTTTCTTTTTCTTTTTCTTTTTCTTTTTCTTTTTCTTTTTCTTTTTCTTTTTCTTTTTCTTTTTCTTTTTCTTTTTCTTTTTCTTTTTCNTTTCTTTTTCTTTTTCTTTTTCTTTTTCTTTTTCTTTTTCTTTTTCTTTTTCTTTTTCTTTTTCTTTTTCTTTTTCTTTTTCTTTTTCTTTTTCTCTTCTTCCTTTATCTTTCTCATTCCTTCTCTTTCTTTCTCTCATGCTCTCTGTATCTCTTTATCTCATTGTTCCTTCTTTCCTTCCTTCAGAAATTCAGGGCATCTTCTTTGCTACACAGTAATAGGACTTTAGGGAAATACATTGCCAAAATAACTCTTGCATCAATTTTCTAAACATCAGACCAGAAGCTTCAATTTGAGGCAATCCCAGAAGATATGAAAATGATTCCCTATACTGTCACATCTCCTCTAGCAATTTGCTGAGTTTTGTGTCTATTGTGTTTAAGACACTGTTTACAAAATCAGAACAATTAAGGACTATTTAAATTAGATTTATCCCCAGTAGAAATATATGTGAGGAAATTAAAAGATTATCGGATCCCCAGAATATAACCTACAGGAGAAATAGACATATTATGTCCATTGGTATCTTTGTAAAGCAGCAGGACGTTAATGAAAGTGAGAAATGAATGAAGTAATCTAGGAGGACTGGACAACACAGTGCCTACTTTTTGATCCGTRCAAGTCACTATTTGTGACAGGAGCTCCAGTGATAAGCCATGATTCAACTCTGAGATTCCTTGTAAGAGATGCAAAAGTCTATCAGTAACAGTTTGTAACATAAGAAGTATGAAAACAGATATACCACCTTGAAAAAGCTGAAGATACAAATCGTAAATTTATTTCTAGCTTGAAAATGCCAGTTCTGTGCTTGTCGTAGTATGTCACTTCCAGGATGACTGAGGAAATGTTACAACTTGGCACGCTAAGGTACCAAACATCATCAGTTGCTACCATATTTTYCTGAGGAACGTATTCTTTTGTAAGAGCTTGCCTCAGACTTGGAGAAGACATTGTGTTTGAGGCTTCAAATGACTGAGCAGAAGGCGGTGCTGAGGGAGCAGCGGGTGCTTTGACAGAGGGCTGAAGCTATGATGAGCTGGAGCTGAGCAGCAGAAGGCTTGGTTGTATCAGTTTCTTCTAGGTGACATTGTTTGCTTTCTCTGGGTGAATGTTTTCAAAGGCATCTGCTGGAAAGTCTTGCAAAATTCACACAACATATGTGCAGACTCGAATGCAAATATGGAGCACATCCCTTTGCCACTTGAGCTTTGTTTAAAACTTTGCCATAAATTCACTATTTTGTCTTGGGTATCATCTGTTGCTCTCTTTGTACGTGGATGGTTCCATACATCATAGAGCTACRCTTTGGAACAGAAACTGTCTTCTAAGGATGGGAGCAGGGCCACAATACTTCATACAGTATTTAGGTCTGGTCTCTGTCATGCAAGTCTCTGGCTTTAAAAATATTGAGACTACTTCCAGCCCTGTGGTTGCCTGTGAAACATTGCTGGTGGAGTGAGGCTGTCCCTCAACTAAGTGTGATTTTTCTCTTCTTTATAGATTACAAAATGCTTGCATGCATGAAGTGGAGGGGTGAATTGAGAGCGACCACTCAGTGGCAATTTGTAATTGCAGATCCCAATGCATGGAGAGAAAGGATGAGCCTTTTTCTATGGAGATGTCTGCTTCCCTCCCCAAGTTATGGTGTCAATGATGCCATGCGATCCTGTGTGCTTGGCAGTAGTGTGTCCTGCTACCAGCACCYTAGCAGGAACTGTGTGCAATCATTGATGCCCTATGCATCTGTGAAATTAAGAAATGTTGCAGGGCCGAGCCCTCTTTATAGAGACTCTATCAGAATGTTAAAATGTTGATTTGATTGTAAAAAGGTGTGTTTACTTTGAGGCATTTAGAAACATTCTCTTTCAACCAAACTACGTATGGATGATGTGTCCCTCTCTGTTGTATCTTGCTATGCAAGGTTGTGAGTGTCATTTCCTCCATGTTCCTCTGCTAAAACCTTTGCAAAATGTGACCAGAAAGGACTATGTGTCAAGAGATGGACAAATGAGGGTGTCTGAAGGATGGAGGTGAGGCAAATGTGGGCAAATAGCACTTTTTAAGGTGGACTCAAGAAGCATGAGATTTTGTTCATTTTTCCAGTGGACATCTACCATTGTTCAGAATGCAGAGCTGGTCTGGGATCAGTGGGAATGCTGGGGCTTGGAGCAATGTGCTAGCTCAGATATGTWCTGGTGATCAGGAGCACTGTGCTGGACCATTATGCCCAACAKATGCCAGAGGAGCCAAGAAATACCAGTAATAAGAGTGAGACCAGGGAAGTGTGTGATTCGAATATGTTGCAGGAGTGAGGAACTATGAAGAAACTTCTGCTTAACTAGTACCAGAAAACATATTGCACAAGATATTTCTCCTTACTAGAGCCTCTGAATTTCCTAATCTTACCCTCAGACTACATTATGCAAAAACCATCTGAGGTCATCTTAAGTCATTTCAGTTTATCCCTTATTTTGCTGAATGATAGGGAGTAGATTTCAAGGTGACCTCTCATTTACTAGAATCATCAGGGTCTGTTCCTGACTGACTAGATGGAAAAAGCAGTAAGATGATGTTCTGATTCTGCACCAGCCCATCAGATAAATGTATGGCACTTAATTTCACACACTTCTTGCAAGCAGTCAATTAATGCTCTTGCCCTGGCACTGAACACAAATTCCATACATACGACTAGGCTTATTTCAGCTCATCCAAGCCTCCATGCAAAATGGAGATTAGATACAGGCTGAGACACCACAAAAAGATGTTGGTCCACACAAACACAAACACTAGAAGGGGCATAGTTTCAGTGCTGATATAGGCCCTGTTTACCAGGTAATATCTAATCAATTGTTTCTAGTGCTCTGATGCATATGATACACTTCCTAATTTTACAGTCAGTCTATTAGACAGAGATTGGAGTCATCAGTAAGAAAATAATCTTCTCAGAGAGATGGCAACTAGCCATATGCTCACTTGGGGTGATGAGCTTTTTGGTAGCTAACAACACTATTTCATGAGTGTGGAAACACACATAAGCAATAGGAAAGATGCATTTATTAAGGGAACATTTTCACCATTCAAAAAGCTGTAAGAAAGTTCTTCATACTTTCTGTAGGTCTGTAGATCTCCAGGTCTGTAGAAGGATCTGATGGAAGAACCGTGCACTGCTTCGGGTGGGACTTCCTTTACATTTTGCTGGGACATAGGGGAAAGTGGAGAAAGTGTTTGGGCACTGGACAAAGCCATCAAATTTGTCAAGGTGAAACTCCCTTGCTGCTCAGTAACTTTTGGGCAGAAGCCCAGCTTTAATCCGCAGCAGCCTCTGGATCAGTGGAGATAAAAGGTCTTGGAGTCACTTGGATGGATAATGAGCACACTTCAGAGTGGTGCACAGCAGGAATGTGTGCAAACAATATTTAAGCTTTCTGGAGGATTTTCTTGTGAAATCYACGTTTTTGTTGCTTGACAGTTCCTGGTCAAAGGTCAAGTAACCTTCTCTTGACACTGACCACCAACCCTCCCCCTCCAGCTTTAAGATGAGCTGTGCAGTAGTGATATAACACCCTATTTGGGCTAAATCAGTCATAAACTGTTCCCCACAGACCTGTGGGCAAAAAGGCATCCAGAGCTTACAGGCAGCAGAAGCACAGCAGGCTTGATCATATGCAAGAAGATCCTATGTGCCAAAAATGGATCCATAAACTATTGCAAGGCCCTGAGTTGCTACACGCAGACTGGGCATGCAGACCCTCCTCCTTGCCCTTCTGCCCGGGATAGGTAAATGTGTGGCATACATTGGCCAAAGGTTAGGACAGCTGCAGAGTGCCTGGACTTGACTTCTAAAATCCAGGCCCAGTGCTAGCTTTTATTGACAAAGTCCTTAGCATTTCCTTCCAGACTCAGGGTATTTCAAGCACTGGCCTGGGACTCCCTCTGTGACCAACAAAGGGAAAAGGGAAAAGGCTGGGGCATCCTCTACCCTACATGGACTGCCCCTCGTTTCCTGCCTCATAAATCAACTCCAAAACATGCCTCACTTTCAGATTATACTCAAACATGCCCCCCACTACTCTGCTTCACACTTTTGAAGGTTAGGGGAACCCTAGTTGACTGAAGAGTCCACCAMGACACTGGAGCCAGGGACTGGGCTTTGCTCAGCATCTCCAGGTTCACAGCACTACACAGAGATCAAACATGACCAAAAAAACAAAAAAAAAAAAAAGAGAGATTTTTAAAGATTTTGACTATCAGTCCCATTTGAAACACTTTCATAAATGCTTGCTCTTAGCTCTGAGAGCAGGGAAGGCACAACCTAYATGGCCATGCCAGACTCCCATGCGACCACATCGCAGTGATGTATATGTCTCCATAATAAGTGAGGTCACTGAGTTTGCTGGGCCTACCCTCCCACTGAGAGAAAGTCTGATGGGCTGGTGGGCTTTTGATGCAGCAGTTTTCTTTTATCCCTAATTGCTGTGGACACTAAGGAAAACAAGGCTACAGGTTCCATTTTTCACTGATCTTCCAGTGTCAGTTTGAATTAAATCCAAGAACATGCTGCTGAGGCTTGCCCAGATACAGTTCTTCTGCCTAGACAGAGCTGTGGGAATGGCTCGCCTATCTCAGTTTGGTGTGCTTTATGAACATGTCTTTTCCTCTCTTTTTCAGACAAGCCACGGATGAACAACATTCTTACTTCTGCAACCGAACCCTATGATCTGTCCTTCTCCCGGTCCTTCCAGAACCTCTCTCACCTCCCACCATCCTATGAGTCTGCAGTCAAGACAAACCCAAGTAAATATTCTTCTCTGAAGAGACTAAGTAGGTGTCAGCTCATTTCATCTCCGTTGTATCACATTTGCTTGTAAGCTGCAGTAGGCCCAGTGCGAAGGCAAAAATCGCGGTGAATCTCTATCACTGAACTGCCCAAGTTGGCATCTCTGGTAATGATTGTCTTGGTTGTCACTTTCCATCAGAGGAGAGTATAGAGAAAGTCACTTCATTACTGTAAGAACACTTGTGGTTATTTGCTTACTGACCTCCTTGTTGTACTGCCTCCCACAATTCTGCATTGTATCTCGTCTTGATAGAGGCATCTGAGATTCCATTTTCCTTCTGTCAGAGTTGAGAGGAGCCAGTCACACACTGAGCTCACTGTGTGAAAGGCAGATGTAACCCACAGATGTAACAGGAACCAAACTGCAAACCTAGACCAACAGAACACTGCTGAAATGGTTGGGAACATCCATTTCTTCAGTAGAAGCATGACATCTGCCTGACTCTGACAGTGCTGTGATCTGCTTCTTGATGTATGTGTCCTGACCCAATCGTGATCTGTGCCGTTCACCAATCTCTTGTACACATCTTGTTGTTCACTACCTTGTTCACACTAGTTAACACGTGTTTTTTTTTATATTTTATGTATTACGTTGTTCTGCTAGATTTTCTGTAACGCTCATCACTGTTACTGATGGTGAACTCACACAGACTTCAATTCTGGTAGGATTAACACATAAATGATACTTAAAAAGTAAAATGCTTTCTCTAACTTAGAGAACAAATTCATAATATGACTCCATGGGCATTCTGGATACATTAAATCAGATATTGYCTAACTTAAAAGAAATAATTTAGGTGTTACAATAACTTCCTTGAAAATAGCTGGGCATGAGGAACAGACCTCTCTCCCCTAGCCTACATAGTGCATTGCCAGTTAGCTAAGCTAAAACAAATTGAAGTGACAGAAAAGCTTTTGGACTGTCTGCAGCATATCCCCATGTGGAGGWTTTTTCAGAAGAGGAAAGGCAATAGGAATGTGGCATACAAAAATCTCAGCCCACTGTCTGGCACTTCAACAAGCAAACYTTCCATAGAAAAAAAGCTCTCYGATAGGAACCAAGGTATCTGGAAAAGATGCAAAGTTAWATCTCAGGCAGATAATTCAGAGAGYATCCCATGACTATCAGAGCTGCTTTGTGACTACAAATACATAAAAGATAGTAACTAAAAAAGTAACAAAGTTGCTCATTAATTGCTCAGAATATTCGCATCTGACATCAGAAGCAAAGGATGGGTTTCCCCACATGGGGAACTTGCCTGCCCCAAATCAAATTCCATACACTCCTTAGTAAGTATCCTGTGAAGGTGACATTGGATAATTTCTCCAAAACTCACTGTTCCTATAATGCCATGATCTGGACTGAGCAGCATATGGAATCCATTGTCATGTTGCAAGATGGTGTGATACATCAAGTAGGGACTTATACTTGATTATATGTAATTAGAAACTGTCTCTGTGTGCCATCAACTTGTGTCCACAAAACATGCGTGAAGCTGACACTTCTCCTGCAGGCTGAAATGGAGGCCCAAGCTGCTTTGGCCACAGGTGGATCATCCTTGGCTTTCAGGAGAAGAATCTTCCAAAGCACACACGCATCCTCCTTTCTCACTCCATGGCATTTTTAACTGTTTCCCTTTCTATTTTCCCCACAGCTGACAAAGAGGCAGATGAATACTACATGAGGAGGAGACACCTGCCMGACCTGGCGGCCCGGGGCACCCTCCCAATCAACGTCATCAAGATGTCACAGCAGAGCAACCACAGGGACAGGCCCCGGCGGCCCATACGGGCCATGTCCCAGGACAGGGTGCTCTCCCCTGAGAGGATTATGCCTGAGGAATTTAGCATGTCCTATGAACGGATCCTCTCAGACGAGCAGCTGCTGTCAGCTGAGCGCCTCCACTCCCAAGACCCGCTGCTCTCCCCAGAGCGCTCGGGGTACCCGGAGCAGTCAATGTCACGAGCACTGTCACACACAGACGTCTTTGTGTCAACACCCGTCTTGGATCGCTACAGGATGACAAAAATGCACTCCCATCCTAGTGCCTCAAATAACTTGTATAATACCTTAGGTATGAACCCAACCTCTGCCAAGCGTCAAGCGTTTGCCTCTCGGCGACACAACACCGTGGAACAACTGCATTATATTCCAGGACACCACCACCACTACCGCACGGCTAGCAAAACAGAGGTGACTGTTTGATATGAGCCTGTGCACTGTAGATTTCATTAAGGACTGGGGTGGTCACAGCACCCTCTACAGCAGTGGCCTTATAGGCCAGGATAACCTCTAATAACTCAGTGTCTGAAAGGACTACTTAAACAGTCCCACCCGCATCGTTTTTAAAGCCACCCATACATTGGTGACATAAGAAGAACCTAAGCAAACAAACAAAATGATAGTGAGGAATAATGGAGGATATGTCCTAACATGCATCAGTTTCTGTCAAAGAAAGCCATAGTAGTAGATGGCTCCTTCCAAGGGCTCACCTGCACTATCTCATTGTTTTTATGAATTTAGGACTTTTTGATCGCTACAAGCAGAATCACTCTCATGCAGCCCATGGCAGGGAGGAGGAACCGCAGCACCCCATCCTGGCTGGAAGGGGCCCTCTTGCTCTCTCTCATGCCAGCCCATGTGTTTGACCTTTCTGTAGCAAGTAGGTTAAGAGTTTGACTGCTGGGGATCACCTCCAGATCATTCGATATCAGCCAGCAYCCATGTATCTCTTCTTCCTCACCCCTGGAGTACATTAAAGGGCAGTCTTTCCTAGGGGACTGGCAGATCTAGGGGCGAGAATAGTCTGGCTGAGAAATGAAGTTTTAGTTTATATTAAATATATTCATAATATAAAAATATACTAGTGCCTACAAGTCGCCTGCTCTCTCAGTGTAGGAAGTAGTAGGGTCGATGTGTCCAATAAGCACAAATATGCTGAATATGCTTGTCAGACCCTTTTCCCACTCATTCTAGTATCTGGGTGTCTACAACATGTAAATAGGAAGGAGGAATAGAGTTTCTGTTCCTTCAGCTTCTTGCCACTGCTAAACCTAAAGCGCCAGAATTCGTCCAGCTTCGCACTGCTAACCTGTGCTATAAGTTCTGCCTCCACTGAAACTCCTACCAGGCAAGGCTACCAGTGACTCCATGGAGCCTGGGTTTCTCCCCAGAAGTTTCCTTTCCTCCTGGCATTCTCCATCTCTCCATTTCTGTGCATATTTCCTCCATAAACGTACACCCTAGAACTCCATATGTAGCAAATCTTTTTCTAGCCCTTAGCAGGAATACTAAGCTAAGTGTGTCAGCATACCAAAAAGTGGGTTGGTAGCTTTCCATGATTGTTTCACCATGTAGTGGCCCCAAAAAAGTCATCCAAATGCCAGTTCCACTGAGTCCCAAACCTAGCCACATAGACAATTYCATTTCATGCAAACAAATTATATATCCAGCATACGTATATTAAAAGGGCATGTTGTATAATCTAATATAATGCTAATTAGATACTATATATTTGAAATCTTTTAAAAATAGACTCATGGGTCCAGAATTTATGAGGGTTTTATTTTTGGCTTTCTGAGTGGGCTGGGATTCACTTTTTTTCTTTGTCTTCCTTTTTTTTTTTTTTTTTTTTTTTGGATTGGTTGGTTGATTAATTTGGTGGTTTTTTTTCTTGTATATCTGCTCCTATCAATTTTTGTGGAACTAATACTGGAACACTTCTGTGGCCAGGAATGGGTCTCAGAGGTTTTGCAGGCCACCCAGCCCAAATGCTCTAACAATATGCTGCACTCTCATACCATGGTGCATATTTGAAGTTCCATCACACGGCCTGCAGCCATGTTGCTGTTTCAAACAACAGGTATGCTCCCTCCCTCTGCAGGATCAAATGGTCATTGACTTCAGGTCCTAACATAGTCCCACACTATGTACTTCTCTCCTTCCCAGTACTTCTCTCCTTGTGTGCTATATTTCCATAACTCTTTACCAAGATAACTCTTCACTAAACGCCATCAAAATTATTGCTCTCCTTCACTCTCCCTTCAAATAGCCTTATAGTTCCCCGTTTCACACTCCACCTCTGTAGCATAAAGCTGTAGATTGTCCTAAGCTTTTGAATCTCATGGTGAGGCTGATGGTGTGCACCTTGTTCTTCTGGCGCAACGAAGACAACAGGAGTGTGCCATTCTTCCCCAGTGGATTAGAGATAGACATCAGTGGGATCAGGTTGGCTTTCACTATGCTGCAGTTCTCAAAAGGAGTCCAAGGAGTCTCTTTCCCAGACTGTCCTGGCATTGCTGGTCCTAGTTCATGGACTTACTTCTGCCCGTCTGATACAGTGTTCACAGAAAATCCCGTCTGAAAGAAATTCTGGGGCTTTGTTTGACAGAAACTTAAGCTGTGAAGGAACAAATAACTGTCTCCATGGTTCAGACTGTCTGGTTTATTACTGTGCAACCTTGGGCAGAATCTCTCTGGGTGACACACAAATTTCTTTATGAATCACTGTGGCAGATCATGACCTGGGGATGAGAAAGGAAAGGCCTCTCCAATGCTCACACCTCATGTCCTTACCTTGATGGATGCTCCTCTCCCCTGACTACCTCCAAGCTCCTCATCTCAGTCACTGGATATTTTTTAAAAGGCAATTCCCTGTGAAAAAATCTTCCTCTTGGTGACCTCCCTGCCATCTAAAGTTTTGTGACTGATTTGAAGAGAACAGAAACACATGGCTGATGGAGAGGTGGCCTCTGCTGAGGTTCTGAATCTCTTCTATTCTCCTGGGAGAATCTGGGACAAATGCCCTCTGCAAGGAGGGGCATGTGAACACTGTGGGAGAGGAGAGTCCACCCTAGAGTCTCCAGGACTTGAGGTGGAAGAGCCCATGGAGCAGAGGTGACCAAGTGAGGCCATGAGTAAGTGAACACTCCTCTCCATTTACATGGCCGTATGTCCCAAGTGACAGTCTTTGTTTAAATGTTCAGTTCACGAATAAGGAAGTTGCTGGACCAAGTGCAAATATGGATACTGTCCACTCAAGTACCCCATGCAGATGCTGTCCCAGGCTGTTTAACATTGACCAYTCTGACTGACGAATATCGCAGGCCCTCCATTAGCCTGTACTATCTATCTGGGCAATAATCCTCCAAAGAAATGCTCGAACCATCTCCTGGGCTCTTCCACTCATGCAAATGTTTCAAACAGTTGTGTCCCATAACACCCATCCCAAAGCCTTTCTAGGCAAAATATCTTCAGGGACTCTGCCAGCACCACAGAAAATTGTCAACATTTCTCTGAGAAGGCACTCTTACCTGGAAGGCTGAAGTTTCTTTCTAGGAACTGCATTCCTGTGGCTTGCTTAGTGCACTGGAATTGATTGGTTATCTTGAATGACAGTATTTCAGCATGCACAGGTGTTCTTATTTGCTATTTTTTTTTTTTTTTTTTTTTTTCTCAGTATCTCTAATTCCTGATAGTTTTTCACTGAAAAGGCACATGATTCAAGACTAGGAACAGTGATGAGCCTGATCCCTAGCACTTTGATGAGGAAAATATGATGGTATAGTCAACTTCCCTAATCCAGAGAGGCATTGTGATGTTTTATACCGTTATGTCTATGGATTTGACACCCTCTCAAAATAAACACTGTAGAAGAGGAAACATTTTTATTAATCTTGTTTGCCAGAAAACCATTCTCCTGTCATACTGTGACTCGTGTCGCAAACTAGTGTCTGTCCAGAATTAGAGTGTTGGAACTAGGAGGGACAGCTTTCCCCAAATCCTCCTGCTTTCCTTCTGGAAAGGGTTCCACTAGCAGTATTTAGAGAGGCTGCTACCTGCACGTTGACCTTTCTGCTTTCTTCTCCTTATGTCTGAGTCACCATCTCATTCTGTACTCAGGAGAAAAGCAGGATGCAGTCACATTCCTCTGTATAGTAAAACTACAATCTGCCTTGATTAATCTAATATACTCCGRAGGATTGATCTGTCTTTTTCTCTAACCAACAGGTGAAAACAGTCATCTGGGGCACATCCAGTTCCCAGAGTACCTGAACAGGGACTAGGGGAGGGTGGTGTTGAAAAGTTTATATTCTTTCCTACAAACTGATAAGTCTTCAAATAGCCCAAGCAGCAACATGTAACAACATGTAATAGTGAGTTGTACTAGATTTCATACAAATCACTGTTATATGTATGTGGGTGTAGATACACACGCACACACCTGTATGCATACAACTGTAGTAATGTCTGTAAAAATGAGTAATTTCTGACTGATCCTGCAACAGCCTAATCTTCCAAAATATATTGACTCATTCTTTGAAATACAGAAAACTATTTTTAATGAGCCACACAGATCACCATATGGAATGGAAATATTATCATAAAAGTCTTCTAATTGCAGTGAATTGTGTTTTAAAGGAAAAAAAATTGAATATTTTTCAATGTTTTAATGTTCCTTTTATAAATAATATTCTTATTTGCTGGGAGTGGGGGGGATAGGGAGGGCAAGGGGAGAAACAGGGACAGTTACCCCAGGAATAAGCCCTCCTTTCATAGCTTACACTTATTTTCTACTTACCGTTCTGCTTTCCTGGCGGGCTGCAAAGCTAAACCCATGAATCTAGGCTTCTTGCATGCATATTTTGGTTCTTGTGACTTTCAATCAGAAGCTTTCCTGTCAGAGGGCTGCAAGAGCCTGGAATCATGGTTTTGTAAGAGATGGGTAGGTCCTGGCAGCTGGGAAGATTTCTATATCTTCTTCCTCCACAGCAAGCAAATCCATCATGAAACAGGGTAACTTTAATTGTATTTGCTGTAAGTGGTCTAATTTGTGATTCATTTGCCATCTTCCATTGCTGTAATGAAAAAAAATAGCTAGTTTATCTTTTGTTTCAGATTTAATGATTAATCTGGAAGGAGGGACTTTGGGGAATATGTYTAGTACATATAGATTTAATGTTCAGATGTATTTCAGATGAGTAAAACTTACTACTGGAAAGAAGAGGGAAGGAGGCTTAAAGATTTTCAATAACAGTGTTATTTAGCAATAAGCCTGTGTTGGGGCTGTTTCTGAGCGCATAGCCACTTCTGTGTTATATGTTCTTAAGTGGATCATAGAAGGGATCGTTTTGAGCCTCTCAGCGGGTTTTAGGCTGCAATGGAGGTGCCCTCACCGAGCCCAAAAATCTGGGAAAAACCCACCTCCATTTCACCTCCCGGAGCCCTGAGAGTTAGGAGAGCGTTGGAATGATCCCCTTGTTTTAAACTCACGGATGTAAACCAGAACGTGATCTCTAATCTCAGACAGCAGACAGCAAAAGCCACGTCCCGCGCCCCTGCTGTGACTCCACGATGTCCGGGAGGTCTCCATCAKCACCATCTCCACCGCAGCGAGACGGCGTCCCACCACCCCGACGTCCTGCCCACGTGCTTCGTAATAGCTTCTGACCTTCAGTCTGTAAACCTGTTAGAAATTTTTGTAGCAAGAATTTCTTGGCTCTGAGAAAGACACTTCTTACTGTAACTATTTTTAGTTTGGGGGACAATATTTCTTAAGAGGAGTTGAGTGGATATTTTTGTGCTTTAGCCCAGTTTATGGATTCCATGTTTATTATACAGTAGTACTAAAGAGGAAGTACATTTGTATCTGTAACTTTGCACAGACTCTTGGTTAACCATTAAGTAAGCTTCAAGATGAGCAGTATTTGACTGTTTTTCTCTGTATTATTCTTGTTGTTATACTTACCTGTAAAGCACATTCTGTATGTACTGTAAACAAAAATATTATCAGTTTAGTAAAATTTAGAGTCTTAAGGATTTTTCCACTTTTGTCAGTAACAAATATTTATGGATTCAAAAATAAAGGCAATTTCAACATATAAACTGTTTCTCTTTTGATATCTATTGGGGAAAAACAAAAGGCCATTTCCCTGGCAGCATTCCCAATCTTTGTAACCAGCGTTTGAAACCTAAATATCTATATTTCTGTGTGTACTTAAATAGCATCTATTAAAATGAATGCTACAAGGTCTGGAAGAGTCATTATTTTTACATACCTATTCATTACATTTCATCCTCATGACAAAAAATAACCACAACAATAAAAAAAAAATAGTAGAAGGATGAAGTAAGACAATACTATTTGACATAAAAGTTTTCAGTGTAAATCTATTCAACTTTTACATGATTTTATTTTAATTTGAACTTTTTTTTYCCATTATTTTTATGATTCATTTTCCATCTACAAAGCCTTGTATTGCAAGGTCAGAACTYAGGAAAGGGCCATAGTGCTAGAGACTTTAACACAGAATAGATTTGTTATGGGCAAATAGGTTAGAGGAACGCCAGTGGGGTCAGAGCTTGACCTCAGTAGACACCTCTCACCTCCACCATGGCAGGAAAGGCAAAAGACAGCATTTTTATCCAAGCTAGTGCAAAGTTTGGGGTTTCCTACAGCTACAACTACCAGGGAAAATGTGGCAGGATGTTTGTTTTGATTCTTGGAAAGGAATTGCATATGTTCACACTGATTTGCCTTCAGCATTAGGCAA